ATAATGTTAAAAGTGATGAAAATAATATTTAAATCTTACAATTTATTTATAAAACAATAAAACTCATAAGTTTGATATAAAAAACAATTGTTTTTTTAAAAGAACATTTGGCAGCGTTACAGTCGCCATTATTACATTTGTAGCATATTGACTGCTAAGTTAAATGAAAAAAAGGGACTTTTGAAGGGAAATTAGTCGTAAATTAAATAAAATTAGTTGTTGGATTATTTGACATGAAAAGTGGCAGCACTAAAGCTAGCACACAGGCTTCCAGTCATTTGTCTCCTGTTTGCTCAGAGTGTCTCTGCATCATCCGAGTATTGGCAAACTTTGTGTCTCTGTATCACTGTAGAGGTATTGTTGTGCCTCAGTGATGTACAACCTTTTCCCAAGCGAAAGCCAAATGGGTTTAAAGACAGTCGTTTGCCTTCATTTTGGGAAGTTGAGCTCTAAATGAAGCCTGGGCCCTTCTCCAGAAACAGCCCTCTATGAACCATAGTAACCTCCTCACAGCTGCTTTCAATTACAACACAGAGGCGCAGAGAGAGAGAGAGAGACTGATAGAGAGGGCTCTGTAATTTCAGAGTCAGACAAAAAGACATAAGCGTGTGATTTTCGGGACACAGGGGTTYAAGACGTGCCAAACCAGAGTAAACCAGAAACTTGCGTAGAGCAGAATTACGTTCTCTGAAGGACAGCCAGGCTGATGAGGCTGCATCTTCTGAAACACGCATAAACCTACAAACAAGACCTCCAAATGGCTGTGGAGAACATCTGAACCGCGCACACACAACACACACACACACTGAATGTGATTATAAAGCCACAGCAAGGAATCCATGTTCTGGTGTAGACTACAAGAAGAGCTCTTAATGTGGTCCTGATCATAAAAACCAGAGCATTCATCAAGCAGACTCATCCTATATGAAWACTCTTTTTGCTGCTTAATCATTTATTCAACAGATCAGACTTTCTCAAGACGTCAAGTCAGTAAGCAAATAGAAAATGTGAAAACGTTTGACAGTAGGGAAAAAAAACTATAATAGGTTTGACAAAAAAAAACATGCTGAGCCAGCACAATTTTGCATTATGCCTTATGGGACAAGAGAGTTGTTCTGCAGTCTGTAAAAAATAATAATAAAAAGAAGCTTCACACATGCTAATGAAACACACAAGCTGGCAGCCATTCAGATACCCTGCAGCACTTCAGTTCAGACCACTCCTTTTACAATCACCTCTCTTCTTTAGCATCAGCTGATCGTTGGAGAAAAAGAGTTAACCCTCACTGAAGCAGCAGCTGTGATTTCATAACAACAAAAGAGTCTYGCGGCACGGCGGTGGCCACGAGTTCAAAATGGTTGCCATGGCATTGAATSCACAATAAAGTGAGTAAATTTAAAATAAATGAGCACAATAGAGAGGCTGTTATTGCTTGGCACAATCAGCAGGTTGAAGAGGAAGAAAAGGTACGACTCTTTCTGCTGCAGCAGCTGGAAGCTCATAGTAGAAGGTAACTGATTCTGTTGACAAATGAAAGAAACTGGAGGAATAATGAAGTGACTCAGCTCACACAGTCTGTAATGTGGTTGATTATATGGGCTGCTAACCTAACATTAGTCCTAAAAAGAYGGCTTTAAAACTGAGGGATTTGTATTCACTGTGCTTTAAGACTGATTCAGATAAAACTAATCTGAGCATCCTGATCAAACAGGATGTTTCCTTCCTGTTTAGTCTGGCAACAGCTTCATAATATCCACAAATCCCTTTCTACCTAACAAAGACAAAAACTTGTGAAAATTTCCATTTTTTTCCAAAGCAAACAACTTATATAAACTTGTTAAATTGGTTCTATTTAATCAAAGGAAACATGACTCGTGGAACTGATTCTTAAGTGGAAAGCTATACAAGTCAGTAAATAACAAAATGTTGTTGTATCTAGATGGTTTTCTGTGATTTAGCAGGAATCAAAGGAGCATCTTGACATAAACATCTAAATAATTCCTGGCAGTTCTACAAAGACGTCCTAGCACATGCCGTCACTGTGACCCCGGCTAAATGAGATCCAGGGAACGCCCGGTGTCATCTTTCCTTGTCCGTGCAACACTTGGCATTGTGATGATTCCTTTAGGCCAAGTACAGTATAGCTTCCTTCAAGTTCACCAGTGATTGCAGATTACAAAGACTAGGAATATGACATATCTAGAATTTCTTGTAGGAATGCACATCTTTGTTTACTGAAATAACTTTGTTCTGGTGGCCATCTTGAAACGGATTGACTCCAAAAGTTATTTGGTTCATAACACAGCACTTGGCATTAAAAGGCATGCCAAACGGTTTAAAATATGTACAATTTTAATAATTCTTCCAAACTGAGGCTGTTCAAAAAGCTATCCTTAACAGGTAAGATACTATTTATAACTTGTAAACATCAAAGCCTTTTCGAAATGACCCAAAATATTTCTTTTAACTTATGATAAGCTAATGAATTGTACCKGTTATTCACAGATCACTCAGAACTGAAACCATTAACCTCAGGAAGCCAGGATATCAGTTAGTGTGAAGTTTTTCTATGTTTTATGAGCTCTATGTGTTGACAACAACATTTAGTCTCAAATCAAATCCTAATCGTCGCTCGACTGTAACATATGCATTTGACAACCTGTGTGAAATCCTTACTCTGTGAAAGTCAACCCGACGAACAGCATCAAACAGGCTAAAGCTGCTTCAAGGGTAGCTTTTCTGACAGACTCAGGACATGTGGCAAGTCATTCAGCTTATGAATAACTACAGGGCAAATTGGCCACCACCTCCAGATAAAAACATCCACCATGCAGAGGAGCTCAATTAGTTCTCTGTGG